ATATACTTGAGCTAGACGCGCGAGGATTTTCCCCTCGGCTAGCAGCTGTGGCTGATATGGCCAATTCTTTGCGCGCTGAGCGCAGTCTGGGCCATGTTGGCCTAAACTAGCCCAGTACGTTTATTAAGCGCCAACCAGAGCTCAAAGTAAAGTTTAATCGCAAGTATGACTACAAGAGAGCCCTCTGCGAGGATCCTGAGATAATCCAGGGCTGGTTTAGCCTGGTAGCCAATATCAAAGCCAAGTATGGCATCCAGGATGACGACACGTACAACTTCGATAAGACAGGCTTCATGATGGGCTAGATATCCACTGGAGCAGTTGTCACAGCTTTAGAGAGACAAGGACGGCTAAAGCAGGTCCAGCCAGGCAATCAGGAGTGGACAACAGTCATTAAGGGCATTAATGCTAAAGGGTGGGCTATTCCACCCTTTATTATCTTCTAGGGCCACAACCACCTCTTAAACTAGTACAAAGAGGATAATCTACCCCATAATTAGGTTATTAGGGTCTCTGAGAATAGCTAGACTACCAACAAACTTAGTCTTGACTAGTTAAAGCACTTTAACGCGCATACAAAGGAGCGTACTATTAGCAGCCACTATCTGCTAGTTATTAATAGTTATAAGAGCCACAACTCACTAGATTTCTAGGAATACTGCAAGGATAACAAGATTATTACTGTATGTATGCCTCCGCACTTATCGCATCTCCTGCAGCCACTTGATGTGGGCTGTTTTGCCCCTCTAAAGAAGGCGTATAGGCGCTAAGCTGAAGACCTTATGCACAACTAGATTAACCACATTACAAAGCTTAAGTTCCTGCCATGCTTTAAAGCAGCCTACAATGCTGTATTTACCTTAAGCAACATCTAAGGAGGGTTCTAAGGCGCTAGACTAGTCCCCTTTAACCTAGAACAGGTTATAATAGGGCTTAATATAAAGCTGCGCACTCTATCACCACAACTCCCTAATAATAACAAGCCCTAGCAGTCGCAAACCCCCAGCAATACCCTAGAACTTTAGTCGCAATTAACTCTGATTTGAGAGAAGTATAAGAAGCAGCAGGGTAGCTCACCTAATTCTGTGCTGAGCGCGCTTGAGCACTACGCAAAGGGGGGAGCGATTCTATCGCACAAGCTAGTTTTGGCGCAACAGGAGAACGCTGAGCTTCACGCAGCTCTAGCAGCTGCCACAGAACGTAAATCGCGCAAAAGAAAGCGAATCCAGAAGGAAGGGACCCTTACAGTTAAGGAAGGGCAGCAGATAGCAGCTCTAAAGGAGTTTGGGGCACGTAGTGATGGAAAGAAGTCAAAGAAGCGGGTGCGCGCTAAAGTGGGTGAGCCCTCCCAACAACGCTGTGGACAGTGCAATTAGACTGGGCACAACGCGCGAACGTGCAAGAATAATACAGAAGTAGTCTCTAAATAATATTCTAAGCTGTACTGCACCTTGCAGCGCCAGAGTGTGGTGTTTTGGGCCATAATAGGGTGAGGTTTAGTAGGGTCTTGGCAAAAGTGTCCGACTCGCCCGTGTGTCCGACTCGCCCGTGGGGTACGTTACTCTAGCTTTTATTTAAGAAACTAAAGTAGGCACACAAAAGTAGTACCTACAGCAAACAATAGATAACTAATTTCCTTTGTCTATAACTAGAGCAGAGGCTCTTACTATATGTCTACGAACCTATATATACTATTCCCTTATACAGAAAAAACTTGTAAATTACTAGAGCAGCCTCACTGCTCTCGTCCTATATAGTCTTAGACTCACACAGGACGTTAAACTAATCAATCAATCAATCAATCAATTACTACCTCACTTATTGCACATCCTCTAGCTACTTAATATAGTCTACTTCTTGCTATTAAAGCGCAAGTACTCTTAGCGTGTACAAGACTTAGCACATAAGCGTGTCTTCTACATTAATAAAGAAGGCTTTCTCCCTACCTTTAAGGCTGTGTTTTTTAACATATTTACAGCAGAGAACTGTTACAAGGCCTTTAAGGCAGTAGGGCTAGTCCCTCTTAAAGCGCAGGTTGTGTTAGATTACCTTAAAGTGTGCCTGCGTACCCTGCTAGAACCCCTCCTCCTAGAGACGCTGTAGTAGTTAAAGACTCTAAGTAATACCTACAAGTTTAGATCTTAGTTAAAGCTTGTACGCGAGTCTTTTACTTAGTTGCCTATTACTGCGCAAGCAGGCTTCTCTTAGCTTGTTAGAGGCAGCGAGCTTATGCTGCATCAGAACGCGCTTCAAGCAGCCTGGATTACGGAGCTTGAAGAGCAATTAGCAGTAATAACTAAGCAGAAATCGCGCAAAAGGAAGCAGATCTAGCAAGGCGGTACTATAGAGTCTGGTGAGGCAGTAGCTTAGGTGGCTGCAGAGGCCTCTGTAGCCACTAAGCGGTCAAAGAAGGCTTAACGTACCCCACGGGCGAGCGAGCCAAGGGGCGAGCGAGCCACTTTTGCCAAGCCCCTACCAAAACCTGACCTATTATGGCCTAAAACACCACACTTTCGCACTCTGTGGCAGACTATGGCAT